CCAACAGCAGCAACAGCTGGCACTTACCCCCGGTAGGTGTGGGGCTCTGTGCCAAGACCCTCCTGTGCCCCTCCTTGTCTGACCCTCTCGGTGCTGTGTCGGTGGTTCTCCCACATGCTGAAGGCTGGGAAGGCCCGTGACACGAGGACCCGGCAGGGGACCCAGTGTGGCTCTGCCCGCCACGCCATCCGAGCCCCTCCTTCCCTCTCTCTCTCTCTGGAAGTTCATCTAGTGTTTGATTCTTTCCTTTTCTATTTCAAATTCTGTTTTATTTCTGTAAAATGAACAAGAACCTGGAAGGGGGACACAGTGGGACACCTCTGGGTCAGGCGGCTCTGAAGGTGGCCCCCAGACATCCCAGTCACCATGACCTCCTGCTCTTGCAGTAAGGAGATTGCTAAGGACCCCACGGGCATCTTAAGATCACGTGGTGGTCTGGTCCCAGTAGAGGCCCCGCACAGAGCAGGATAACAGAGCCCAAAGACAGGACCCGGCCAAGCTGCTGCACTCCCCCGAAGGCCTCTGCCCTTGCTCCCTGGCAGATTTGACCACCTGGTGGCCACAGAGTGCCGGGAGGGCTGCCGACAGCCATACAATGCCGGGAGGACGAACATCAAGCACGTGGTGGATGCCACTGACCACCTTTTCCTCGCAGCACAGAGGATTCCTGGAGTGGGCAACGCTGAGGACTCCACCAAACCTCCTCTGGTCGGCCAGGAAGACAGTTCTGGAAAGGGTTAGGCGGGTGCAATGGCTCTCCACTCCAAAGACACTGTTTATCACGATCCTCAGCAGGGAAGGGGAGCCACACTTAACAGGGCTTATTCTATTTGCCTGACTCTACAGTAAGGAAGACAATAATAAAATAATAGTAATAGTAACCCAAAGACGCTGGCATATTAGTTGGGTCCTATAGGATGGAATGCATCATTTATGAAACATCAATTTTTAGTGTATCAGGTCAATGAGGCCAGTCTGACCACCCCTGACAATGTAACTCTGCTAATTAGTGTCTGCACAGAACTTGATCATTTTCCAAGAGGATCTGCAGCCACTGTATAATTCAGACCTCTTAAAATCCCCGCAGGGGACGCATCTTGAGGTGCCTCGTCAATTACTTCGGCGGGGAGAATTAGGAACAGGGGCCAGACTCCCGGTCCCTGAACTGGTTTGGAATCATGCTGCATTTATGGATTTCTGAAAGTTTTATTGTAACCCCCAGGAGACCAGCTCCTCTCCCTGCGGGGGTCCCGATGGGGTAGGGGTAGGCAGGCGCTTTAGGCCCTCCTCCTGTATCACTCTGTGTCTGGTTCTCTCCATCCAAGCACTCAGAATGTCCCCGCCTCATTAGTCCCTTTGACTTTTGAGGTTTTGACGAGACAATGAAAGCCTTGTGGGCTCTTAGAGAGTTTCTGCAAACCTCCCGCCTTTCCCAGAAGAGGCTGGGTGTGGCCCTCCGCGGGGCTGGCCTGGCTGGCCTCAAGTTTCCTGTCACTCTGGGCAGTTGGGGTGGGGGGAGGGTGGAGAAGAAAACTGTCTCCCATTTCCAAGGGGCCACCAGCAACAGGCTCTGGAGGAGCGGCTGGCATCCCTTCCCTTCCCACGGAAGGCACCCCAACCTGGACGAGGACGCCCCCAGGTCCCTGGCGCTTCCTGGCTTGGCCGACCCCTCAGGAAACCCATGGTGCTGTGATTCTCCACCAGGCAACAGGCGGCCATGCTCTAGAACATGGTTCTGAGAAACGTTTTCAGGATGTGCCTGGAAGACACGTGGTCAGTCACAATGGTCTAGTTCTTCTGGCCGCATCTGGGAGTCGGGCTCCTGTCTCCACCATCCCCCAAGGAGTTCCAGCCTCCACAGCCCAAGCCCTTTTGGAAGTGGACTCAGCGCAGCACTACACTCTGCAGCTGGAGGAGGAATCCGGTCTGGCTCTGAGGCCCCGGCCCGCACGCCATGCATGAAAGGTTATCAAGACGGCTGTCACCGCGTGGCCCAGGCTGGTCCCCACCTCCTGCACTCCTCCTGCCTCGGCCCCCAAGGACCTGGCACTGGGACTGTGGCCCATGTCACGAGGCCCAGCTTAGCTGACCTAGTCCACAGCTGGCCTCCAGAAACACCTGGATACAGGTTCAGTGTCCTGTGTCAGAACACCCCTCAAAGGGTACAGGCTGCGGGGCTTGCTGGATTTCTAAAACTCTGGTTTCTTCAAGGATGGAAGTGCCCACTAATTCTTTTTAGCAGGTCTTCCTATCTTGACCACCATAAAACTCATTCTAACAGTTAAGCATTCTAGCATTCCTTTGTGATACTAATTAAGATCCTCTGCCATCTTGCAGTATGTGTCCTTCCCCCAATTAGGGTATATCAGATGACAAGTAGGCCTCCTACCGTGGCTCTGTCACATTCTTTATTTGTGTTGTGTGTGTGTGTGGGGGGATTGAACCCAGGGGCCTAACCACTGAGCCACATTCCCAGCCCTTTTTTATATTTTATTAAGAGACAAGTTCTTGCTAAATTGCTCAGGGCCTCACTAAGTTGCTGAGGCCCTGCCCCTAGGCATCGCACTCCTACTTGAGAAAATCAAGGATAAAGGGAAGGCTTGACAGGGCTGACCATGGCCTGACCAGGGGTCCTAGCAGGTGGTGCACCTGGGAGGTGTGGAGACCCCACACCGCCCCCCTGCACCCCTCGCCCTTCATCTGTAACAACCTTTACAAGGAAGGCAATGCGTGTCCCTGGGTGCTGCAAACCCATC